ATATATATAGTTTGAGAAAAAGCATAATGAGGATGCTGATAATATTAATAAGACAATATATATATATACTCTTATCTTTTTATGCCTCCATCGTCAAATACTATTTCCACAGACGATGTGAGCGCTCCGTACAGAGCCCAATGTAGGCTTTAGTATCCGGTGATCGCAATATTACTTCGAAACATGTTGTCCACGATTCTCTGGCGAATAGGATAGTTGATTGGAAACGATACAGAACGAATTCTCAGTAAAGCAGTGTCATGTATTCTAGATGAGGAAATCCCAGAAAATTAAGGCAGATATTTGTTTTCAGTTCATAGCAGGTTGATATATCTTCGATTGTTTGTCCACGTAGTCGATATTAAAGGCCATCTTTAGTATCGAGATTTGTCATGTCTATATACAATAGTTTGCATTATTAAACATTATCTATTGAGTAAGGATGAGGGGTTGATGTAAAAGATCATTACGTTCCTACGTGAGTGGTGTGGACTTGTACGAATTCACTTAGCCTCGGACGATTTGTCTTTGAATATATCAGACCGGCATAGGTTATGGATGCCTTATACGAAGGATGAGCTCAAAATCAAACCACTCACGTATTGGTACGACAGTCTCAGCAGGTTCATTGCAGGTGCCTATGGGCCACCGGGTACTATAACAGTTTTATTTGCATTGGTCTATAATGATCAGAGTTGCCAGATAAGGTAGGCATTTGTTTACAAACTCTTATGTAATCAAAATACTATGCTATTAAGTATGAATAGGTCAGGTCTATGCCATTTACCGAGGTTCTAGCTGCAGAGATTATGACTATAAAAAAATTCGGGAGGGCATATCAATCGATATGCGATCTGCTTCGAAGGCGGCCGTATCGCATCCCGTACTTATCATCAGTAACGCCGCGTAGTAATTTTGACCAGAGACGCAGCTATTACCGACTTTTGCAGAACTGTTGCACGCATTTAATATAATCAGAGACTCTCCTAAACTGATGACCAGCTACTAGTCTTGAGCAATCAACACCTTATGTCACTTATATTCACTGAAGACGTGGTCGCAAAGCAACTATTCCATCGCCCTACCATGGAAATGAACATACCTCAGACCTATACACCTCTAGCGGGAGTTGAAATATGTATAATTTCCATACTTAGATAAATGTACAGGTGCGTCCGTTTTATATCGAAGCTCTATGTGAATGGGACCATGCTCCCTAATGTATTTAAACATGGTGGGTCTAGGCTATTAGTAGACCGCGATCGTCTGAGCTTTACGAGAGTAACAGAGAATGCAGACTATATAGTGCTTGTAGATGGCATATACGGTTATCTTGATCCTAATTGTAAGCGAGTTAAACTCCGACATAATATGTAGCTTGTTGTCTGAGTTCAATGCGGTCTCACTGAGACGCACATAACGAATTTGTGTGCGAATAGTCATATCCATACTCACGCAAGGTATGCATTCTGGGTCGTCATACTAGCGAGACGATGTTGCACTACATCCTACCTGCATATACTGTTAGCGAAGCGGTGATCTGTTCTGGATGTTAAAATATTATCCTAGCAATTGTAATATGAACATCACATTTTCTTCACTCTCGAATGGGTCGAGTCGGCGATAAATTGATCGCTATTCACATTGAATCAACCCTGATTGTGAAACCAGCTGCAAGGCTGATTCATTGACAAATGATCTGTCGGCTGTCAGTGAGAAAGCGATAGACTGTATCACATTGCTACAATGCACTCCGAGTTTTGAGTTCTAGCCAAACGCCTGTAATTCAGCCGCAGCGTCTGGCAATGTCATCAAGCACGTCGCGGTTAAAACAGTCCCAATGATTAATTTCACGTTTTCTTGCCTCCCATTATATGCCTCCTAGATTAAAATATTCAATCAAAATTTCATTATTTGAGTCGATCTCATTTGCAGACGCACACGGGCTTTAGCCTCGATCGATTGTAGATGATTTGAATTATTTCCAATTTTTGAAACAGAGCAGCCACCACCATGCGCAAGTTGAGCGCAATAAGAAAAGTCCGCAGGAAGTGTAAATTGAGTATTGTTACAATTTTGTCAACGCTAAATGTATATCGAGTAAATTCGAAGTCTACCCACAAATGCTTACTTTTTGATCGGCGATCTAGCCCTCGCTCTTAGCTTGTCTGACAACCACTGGACTCTTGGAGATGCCACTTTCTTCAGGTCACGATCATCGCTCGCCTAAAAGTTGTTAGGGTGAAGACTTTAGTGGACAGTGGCTGACTTATAGGCCGACTAAATTGGCGGATCAGTTTTCGATTGTCGGTTCAAAAACCGCTAAGGCACATCGAATTTATAACAGGCACTAAACAAATTGCACGCACGAAACACTTGAGCGATAACTTGAGATCAATGTTGTGCAGGCTTATTTACAACCACAACATTTGAGAAAGCCACTAGCTATAAACAAGAATAGGATAGAAAAGACTAAGTTTTGACAACTGGCATACCGTCCATCATATATACCGAAACTACACAAATATATCGGAGCATCATAAAAACTGTCCAATACGCTCAGCGCATAAGCCAGCTACAGCGTATAGCTCGCTAAAAAAAATGCAGAATAACATTCTGCGGCCAAGTGAACCTACACCTTACTATGCATTCTCGCATGCAACGGATTTTTTCTTCATATTTCTATTTGTACTACATCAGAACAATAGGTCGACAAGAGAATGTGTATTTTCCTCTCTCGCATGAGGTATATATTGTATTCTGTTTGTCGATGTAACAAATGAGAGAACCTACCCCCTCATTGATGACCAATAGCATGCGTTCATACAACGAGGCATTCGGAAGATACTGGTCATTGTAATCTTTTATCCAACCTTCTTTCTCTGCCTCTCGCATTGCGAGCCCTAAGGTTGTCTCATCCACATCTGTGACGAATACGCGAATTGGTATTCATATGTACACCCACTTAACGTATATCCTGAAGGGCAATTCGGTCCGCGAAATACATGTACTCGCTTTTTAAGCGTACATTCATAATCAACATCGAGTTGTAAATATAACAAGAAACACTCAGTAAGGCAACTTGTATCATACTGCATAAAACCTCATAGTCTGCAGCAGAAGAACAAACTAACCAGCACACCTTTGTCTCGCTTGAAGTTACGTCCATAGACCGGGGCCTTGCACTTGTGCAATCTATGCTGGAACCGACAACTGTGTTGTTCTCTCAAACTCATCAGGGGATACTGAAGCTCAAACACTCGTTGTAAAATTGGGTGTCGTTTGGCCATGTGGAGGACTGCGTATGGTAATCCATCGCGATTCACCACCTGCAACGAACGTGCATATTCAATAACTACCTGAGCTCGTATTGTATCAAGTATGTGGGGTTGTATCGAAGATCAGAGGAGTGAATAGACTATAAAGTCTGGACTTGATTGTAGCTCACAGAGATTTCAGGGAAGATGTGCCACTTTGACAGTTGGCTGAACTAGTTCACCAGGAACCATGAGTGTTCAATAGTCGTCATTCAAGAACTAAAATGTTTACCGAAAAGGTGCATGGATGCCAGCCGAAATGCGCACACAGGCGAAAATATGTCTAAATGCATGCAATCAAGAGCACTCCGAGATTGTCGATAGAAGACATTAACACTTGTACACAACTAACCTCGCCCCATGCATTGAAAGCTACGGCAGGGGCATTGAGCGTCGCCACGAGTGGTTCGGTAAACAGGTAACGTCTGGTGCTAACGCCCACAGCCTCAAACATTCCTAGATGGTACATCACTGCATAGGCACCTTGATCCTATATTGAGGTATGGACAAAAACAAAAATATGTGCATCAGGACGCGAATCAACTTAGGACATGATATGTTGGTACCTGTGAAAAAATCACAATGTTTTCATTTCCCTAATCAAAACGGATTGTATCTAAGATAGCTACCTGGTTGATCCTGCCAGTAGTCATATGCTTGTCCTAAAGATTAAGCCAGGCATGCCTAAGTATAAATATTTATATAGTGAACCTGCGAATGGTTCATTAAATAAGATATAGTCTATTTGATAATATCTACTACTTGGATAACCGTGGTAATTCTAGAGGACATGTACATGAAAGAGTGAAAACACCTAAATTGTATACAGCACAAGTCAGCTCGAATTTTATATAATGTAGTTAAATTAGCAGTTTTTCTGATTAAACTGACAATGATTGCCCATTTACTCAAGGTAGATCTCTCATATTTACAAATTCACGCAGTTTGTGAGCGGGGCTATAGAAATACTAGAGTAGCATCGATTTCGGTTCCCAACACAGTAATCTACACAACGCAAAATGACACTAGACACAATGCAAGTTCCGATGCATGCTCTTTGCTAGCGCATTTGAAATGAACCAAAATGATATATCGATATATACGTGTGTGTTTGCATCAAGGAGAAAATTATATGGCGCTACGAGCAACTACTTGCATGACTACCTTTAAAAGCATGCATTCAAGAGAAGCGATGGCGGTAAAATACAACGATATCAAAAAGCAACAATATATCCTGGGGTACCTACATTACACCGGGGCAGCTGTGGTAGCAGAACTTGATCCAGAACTCTGTGGTATGCATGGGCCTCCCCGGCGATAGTACCAGCGCAAATTCGAGTTTTATTGGCCATCAGGTCTCGTATCTGCGTATAGGTTATCGTGCATGAGACACTGTGGGCTGAGTTAGGGGCACATCATGTTCTGAGGCGGTTACCTACTGAACTTGTCTACCATATTTCAATAGGAAAAGTTGGGTGTCTAATAGGGAACAGTCACGGGCGCCATGTTGGTATATCATAGATCCGGTTGGGGTTTGAAAACATAGCATGTTGACAAATACTAATACATCTGCGGGGTTGTCGCATACCTCCGGCCCATAGCAGGTTTCAATCCATTCACTGTTGGATGTTGAGTCCCCCACAAGTTTGCTGAGCGATTCCTCGAAGACAACTAACCCACCATTGGTTTGTAAGATGCGACTGTCGAAGATGTTATCCTGTGTTGTTTCCACAATTTATATCATGTGAGGTAATTTGTATGTTTTAACTCGATGGGGATTTCTGTACAATATTTGAAAAGTATTCTGCACAGTTTTGGGTACGCCGAAAAATCTACAGGGGCTTGTAATGTGCATATTGGGTTTTACAGGTCTTTGTCGTTGGCAAGAAAATCGTACCGCACTAGGTTATTAGCTGTTGGTCTGATATGTGGTGAAGAGTTTTTGGCGTATTTCAACACCACTCAGGTTCACTCAGGAAATAATCTATACGAACAACATGAACATTTCAATTTTCGAATATATGCATAGCACACCAACCTGGAAAAGCACGTCGGTGTCCGAGTGAAAAACATTTCGCAGTATATCTAAATTCTCGGCCAGAAAGTCTCGTTCGCAGTAGAAGCGCATCTGCACATGGTTCATAAAATAGGTCGCCGGCCGGCAGATGACTGTCTCAACGTCGAAATGGTCTAGGAACGCCTGTGAAGTTCAATTGAAGTGAATTATTGGGCAGATGATCGACAAACGACTTGACCATAATATACAGAATGCAATTTCGATGTATGTTGCTGGCAACTGTTGCGAAGTATAGATAGCGATTCTCATTTTTATACCTTTTCCTGGTCAAACTCGTGCCGAGTTACAGTCAAGCGACTGAAAGTACATGTGACATATCCCGATATATCGCTACTGCGGTAAGAAAACAGACCCTAATTTTGCAACCATAAAAGTGTAGACATTGAGAGAGCTTCGGTTTGTTCTGAATAACTTCATGTGTGGTTCTCATACCTTCAACATGCCCTTACGATAATTTGCAGTCAGTAACACCACAATGCGAGCCTCTTTATTGTGCCGTCTGAAGGATCGCACCAATGAATTGAGGGATTCCACCGACGGATGGAAATCGTCGGTCTGATGACCTATATATGTCAGTAACACATCCTGCAGCATATTGTGTTACAGAAAATGGACTAGTTAACTACCGTGATAGACAACTACTAAGCCAACAGGCAGGATTTAAGGCTTGTCGCAAAAGCAACAGGCAGTTGACCGAATATGATATTAAAATAGAAAGAAAATGATTACGTTTTATGCAAAAATATTGCTATACTTAGCATCTGAGGATGGCTATCACGAGCAGGTCAAGTACCTTCTTCCTAATCGACGGCTGGACGGTTTCATCACCAGTATGTCGTTGTACGGGCTGTGTAACAGAGCATGTGAACTGATTATTAAATATAAATTTCTGACTGGCATCCAGTGGATAAAAGGTGTGAGCGAATTAGGAGGAAACAATATATCATCTCTGCGTGGCTACAACTTCATTCTGTTTTTGCATTAGATTTTGATAATTTTGATTATTAATATCAAACTGGTCATATAAACAGACATATTTATCACGCTTTAGTTTAGGTCTGGAAAAGTAAAGTGTCAGTATGTATAGCAAATCAACCTTTCAAAAGTATTTTGCTCTGATAGTGTCTATATGCATATTCGCGATACAGATACAAAAAATTAGCGCTCCTTTGATATAATTGACAAACAGAGTAGCTGCGGTCATACGTAAAATATCAAGCAAAGCGACACATACACACGTCAATGATTTTTTTGGTAAATGATACAGATCTATAGTTATACATGTCCGTGTTGTACACACGGACACACGACCAGGTATATATACGCTTCTACACTCAAGGCTCTCGTCCGATTGTCTGAGTTCACGAACGAATAGTAAGGCCCATAATCGATAAATCGACTTCATGAATATCGCAAATACACGTACGAAAGTGTAAATATGAAGATGTATATGCATCTGTGTAGATATGCGTGAAAATACTGTTGTACACATTAATATCTCGACACGTACGAAAGTGTATAAAAAATACAGAAGCGTGAGATAACACGTACAGAAGCATGGCATTGGCTATTGCTTTGAAATAAACTTCAGGTTATTCGTGTATCAGATATAAAAATAATATATGTACATAATATACACACACACACATATATATATTTACAAACAAATATGTACACACAAGTATAGCTTA